TACTGTGTTTGAATATATATTTGTAGAGGGAGGGTTTCTGATGCTGTCAGCAATTTCTGTCAAAGATGTACCTTCAGAGACATCACTGTTGACTTTCAAATGTTTCATGTTTTATTACTTCATATTAATCATTAACGATGAATGGCGTCCCTGGATGATCCACAAGAACTATGAATCATTCATTATAACTAAAACAAACTCTTTCTCTCTTTTTTTTTTTTTTTAATTAAAATAAGCAATGTTTATTTAGTTAAAAAAAAATAATCAGGAAAGCAAAACCTTTAGAAAAGAACTAATATTTTTGAAAATGCTGTAAATTGATACTACAAAAACTTCCAAGGTCAGAGAAGGAACCAGAGAGTGGGGAGCCAAGATTAAGACTATATGCAGTGTTTTTGTTTTCTTCTCTAGTCTCCTAAATCTCCAAAGAATGTACATATCATAAAATGTCTTATGTAGGCAGGTACCATTCCAATTTAAAAAATCCATACAAATATTTTGTAGATAAGAGAGCTGCTTCTGCAGGTGAACCAGCTCTGTGGCACTAAATCCATTTGGGAACAGCTTTCATTTCCCACATTAGAGCAAGACATGAATTTCCATTGCGGCAGATGAAAAAGATTTGCTTCACAGACAAAGGTTCCCATCTCCATTGGAATTCAGCAAACTCCAAACATAGGAGAAATATTGTAACCCAGTTCACTCGGTTTTATTTATTTGTTAATGTAACTTGTACTGAGAAGTATAAATAGCCCTTAGTTCCTGGGGAAGTTCATGGCACTGTTTTTGATCAGCCTCACGAGAAATTTGTTCTGAATCCCTGAAGGGTTTATTCTTAATACATGAATTCCAGACTATGAGAGAAACTACGTCATCAACTGTGATCTTCATTATATCCATGTCCCATCAAAATCAGTCTCACTGGTTCAACATCTAGATGCAGCTTTCAGATAAACAGATGAGACAACCCAAGCTTGGAAGTGACAGTAACATGGAGACAGAATGAAAATACCACAGGTAAAACTGAATCTGAGTTAGATGGAGAAGATGCCTGTAGGTATGAAAACCACAACAAACAATTATTGCCATGCTTAAGGACTGCATCCTAGTGAGTGACAAAATTGAAAGATCCTAAAAGAAATATTGAGAGGCTGTCTGTCAGAAATTGCTTTAAAGAAGATACACATGATATACAAGATACATATGATTCTGTGATTCTATACTTGCTACACACTAGGTCAGCTGCAAAACTCAGAGGTTTGCTAAGGGTGCTCCCAATGCCACTTTTCTAGACTGCAGTCATCACATTAAAAACTGTTATCTCCTGATATAAAACTGTTATCTCCTGATGTAAAACTGTTATCAAAGTTATCTCCTGATATTTTAAATAGAATTTATTTAGTTGTTTTTTTTTTTTAAGTGTAGAAAGTAGACTGGGCATCACAGATATTGACCCGCTAAGGGTCTGATATAGCTGTGGTATCGTATTTGTCCATTTGTGGTCAAAAGACAATTTTCTTTAAACAAGGAAATAATTCCTTAAAAGATAGTTTTTTTTAAATTGTATCTTCTTTTTCAGGAGTTCTCTAAGAGCAGCCTATGCTGACCAATTCATGGCTGAAACAGGTTATTACTGAGGCACGTATACTGTCTAAAATAAGCCAGTTTGCATGCATTGCTCTTGTAAACCCTAAGATTTTAGGTTTATTTCTAGTGGCCAGACAACATCCTTGATATTTTTTTTTCTTTCAAAATTTATTCCAATCTTTAACATTCTGACATAACCCAGGGTCATATTCTGCACTCAAATTCATCCCCAAAAGACTCTGAGAGCAAAAGGTTGCTGTTAGGTTTAGCAAGATGCTTGGCCAAAACCTCATTAGTTATTTCATACCTGCTATTCTGAAAGTAATTCTAGTTCAGTCCAGACGCATTTAGAAGGAATCAATAGCAGCTTTGACGTGCATACCCTTGCCATGCCGTTAGTACAACAGCAGACTTGACCCTGCTAGATGCACGATATGCCCATTGCTTAGTGAAATGGAAGGTATATCTCTTAAGAAGATGATTTTGATGAATGGAGGAAATAACATTTCTTGCAGCAATATTAATTTTGGTAACCTCTCTTAACTTCTCCTTTCTTTGTTTTACAGATTTCTGGTGAAAACCACTTGTGTGTCTTTCACTAACCTTTTCCAATTAATTAAATAAAGTGGGCTGAATTAATTTTTTTATCTTACCATCAAAGTCATGCTCAGAATAGTCTGGAAGCTGCCCTAAGCTATGACTTCACTGACCAAAGTAATATATACTTACTGTGTCAACCATCAGTTCTCCCAGTGGCAAACATGGGCACAAAGAATGTCATTTTGGCTGCAGAGAAGGGCTGGTAAGGTCAAACATGACCAAACAGTATTGGGTTTTGTAGCTAACTTTTCGGAAACGCTAAAAATGCCACTTCGCATTTTCACCACTTTACATTTTAGAATTGAACAACAGTTATAGGTTAATGAGTCCTCTATAGAAAATATTACTTCCCAACCACTACCTCCCCAGTACCTTTATGGCGGTAGAAAATAAATCTCAGATAGCTCTGAGGTGGAGTAATAGCTCACTGAATGGCTGACCTAGGAAAACATGGTGCGAAAAACAGGTCATGGAAATGCAAAATGTAACAAACTGCTACAAATCTGAAAGGAATAAATAATGTTACCAAATTTTCAGGGTTACTTTACCAAATAATACAAAAAGTGTATCTGCTTTGACAGATACATGCTTAGCACAAAAGAGCCTGGGTTGAGACTATAACAAGATGCATGGAAGGGCAATGGCTTGTCTACTCATTGCTTCAGATATTGTATGGTTTCTTATTTATTTAGCTGCAGGTTTAGCCTGGCTTATATTGCCTCCTGTGTACGCTACGCCACTGCTCAGTGTATTAGTTTCACAAGTTGTATTTACCCTGACCTGGTGATGCCAGGCCAGGCAGCTCATTTCTATCCAGTGTGCTCCTACTGTGAGTCCACGTCTCTTCCACTTCTCTCCAGGCAGGAGAGGTTCCTCTCTGTTCTCATGAGCTCATGAAATTGTAATCATTTCCCAGGTAGGTCAATACAACCTGTCTGCAGCACATCACATCCCTAATGCCTGCTGCCACTTATTTGTTTTCTGCCTTCTCCCTCCACCGGTCCCCTCTCCAGTTTAGAAAAAAGGACCCACATGCTTTCCTCAGCCCTTCGTTCTCCATGGCATTGCCCATGCAGCCTGTGATGTCATAAGGGCAGCACTCCCCTGGTTTAGAAGGATGCCAATAGGTTGGCTGCAGCCATCTGCTCTGCTTTTATAGAGTTAAATTCATGCCATCTGCACATCCTGTCTGCAGGGAAGGGGTCTGCCAATTAAGCATCTTCTTCAGAAAGATGGGATACACCTGCGACAGGACAGGGGCCATCACAAAATGCGTGGGTCACCCGCGCTGTGTATGTGGACACCTTTGGCTCTGGGATGATGATTAGTGTGGGTCAGTGTCTCTTCCCTGCTGGTTTGTAAAGGTCAGCTCAAACCTGTGCCCAAGTACAGTCTTGTGCCCCACAATGTGAATGTGGCCTCTGTTTGTGGGCTTGAAATGCAGTGTACATATAACCTTTATCTTCAAATTTACCCCAGATTTCCAAGTCTGAGATTTCCAAGTCTGAGATTTCCCCCCCCCTCTGTTCTGTGAAAATTCCTAAGTACTATAAAAATAATAACTATTCTTAGTTCATTTGGTGCATACACTTCAGGAAAGCTTACAGTATTCATGTACTCAGCTGCTTCTTATTCTCCACAAAATTGTTTGCTCTTTGTCCTTGCATACGCAAGTATCATTGCTGGCCCAATTCTCCGGAATCCTGCAAGAAGTGAATCTTCTAAAGTGCCTTGTCAGAGTGAAACTGGACAGACATGGAAAACCAGCTGGAAACCAGCCAAAATGAATGTGGTGGTAGATTGTTTTTCCAAGAGCTTGGCAGAAGGTCCCCCAGAAAAGGTTTGGCAGGAATGTAATGCTCTATGACTGCTCCCTGAGTGCACTTCACATCTTGAGTGCTCAGTAATTTAAGTTTCATTGGAACTGCTGATGGGAAATGAGATTTGTGGGGGCTTTCATCCCTCATCCCTCGGCATTAATATAGATTATGAAAGGTTGTTCAACTTAGCAGAAACAAGGATGAACCCTTGCCCTAAATTGCAATGTTTAAAAATAAAAAAAAAAGAGAGAGAATAAATCTGCTCAGAAGTTTGATTTCATCAAGAAATGCAAACCTGCTGGGCTTCATAGTATTGGGCCTGATTAATTTACAATAGCTTGGGTTGAAAGAGCAGGCAGGATAGAAGGCTGGACACTGATTGAAACCTTTGTGGATTCCTGCTCCTCAGTCAGAATGATCAGCTACAGCAATGGTGGCATCTTTAAAGGCATGAGTAGAAAATGAACTCTGGCACTTCTTACACAATGTAGCTGTAAGTTTAAGGAATGATGACTTATTTAATACAGAGCCTGGAAGTTGTTATTACTTCTGGGTTCAGTCAGATGACTGAGCTACATCAGATAAAGTGTTTCACAGGAAAAAGTTTTTATTTTCAAAGGTTCTTAGTATTAGGAATTCAGAGAGGGAATCAAAGCAGCCACAGATACTGACAACTAGTCATGCTTCAACTAAAGGGCAGCAGCTGAGAAGAATGGACTCTTACACAGCTTTCCGATCACCTAGGCATGTTTAGATTAAAATGGCATAAAGGAAGGTTTACTCAGCACTCTGAAATCAAGAACAGCCATACCTTTCTGCTTTCTTCAACTTGCCATAAATTTGTGAATTCAAGAATCAAAACCCTTCTCAAAACTGTCCCAGCGCTGTCTCTTTCTAAGGGTCTGCTGTAATACCTATGCTTTGTAGCACTTCAATAATTCAAGTAAAAAGAAAAAAAGCTTTATGTTAGGATGTTATCTCTAAAATCTGACCATGGAGAAAGCTGTGAAATGCTCTGAATGTAAACCTCTGACCACAGTGAAAGTTCTGGAAAGAACAGAGTCCTGTGTGAAACTGAATTTGCTACTGGAAGACTTCGGTGTGATCTACAAGACCTCCAAAACCATTTTTGCAAGGGAAAGGGTGACTAGGAGCTGTTTGACCTGTTGTATTAGGACCTCTGTGTATAGGAGGAGTCGTAGTAGTATGCACAACTAGGCATTAATGCATAACTGAAGGAGTGTACCTTGGACATTCCTTCTGTGATTAAAATAACATCTTGATTATATAGTGGCTTCTAGAGTGTATGTAGAGAATCAGGCTCCAAACAGCATCATCTTATATGCTTTCAGGTTGTGTGTAGCCAAGATATTTATAGGCTATCAGCCACCACAGTGAGTGCTGTGACTTAAAAAGTGGAACAATCCTATACTTATGTTACTTTGGCCATTTGGTATGTTTTGGAGCCTTTAAGTTATCCACTTTCTCCTGGGATCTGCAACGTGAGATCAGCTGATGATACTTGATAGGTCTATTGAAGTTGAAACATTCTGTTTTCTCTATTATTTATCATTTTTAGCTGCTCCCTGGCATGACAATCACAATTCTACCAAGGAAGATTGCTCAGGACTGTCAGAGCTTTTAATGACACTCTAAACCAGTAATTTTTGACTTGTTTTGGTACTTAGAATTTTTAAGAAGTGCTGAAGACCCCTTTAGGTATGTAGATTATTGCAAGGTCTGTGTGAATTTACTGCTTCATAGCAATGTTTCACAGAACCCAGAGAAATAACTGATGGGTAGTAACAAGCCAGAGACCAGAAAACTTCTGAAATGTGTCAGACAGACTGCTCCTTTCAGGTGAGAGATGAAGCCATCTTAACCACTTTTTCAGTCCTTAACATAGTATTCTATTTCTTCAGAGTTTTCCTCCTATGCCTGTTGCATCTTGCTATACAAATAATCTTTTATCAAAATTAGAATCTTCTCTGTCCAAGGTTGTGCTTCTATTTTCACAAACTCTCGAACTGTGTTTTTGTATATTCTTTGTTACCTTAGCAGCAGTAAAGTTCTGTTTAATCTTCCATGAAGATCTGGCATAACAGTGAATCATTCTTACCATGAAATGTTTAGAAACTATCCCACTACCCTCCATAAATCCGTATTTTCACCTCCAGTCTTAGATTGCAGTGTTTCTGTACCCCCTGTAAACATGGAAAACTGCTCATAAATAATTTTAATGATTTTTTAATTTATTACTTTTTTTTTTTCTACTTAGCTAAATGTTTTACAATTTGGACTTCAAGCCTCTAGAAATGTAGAACAGAAATGGAGTTAGAGGTATGGCCTCAGGACATTTGCAAACAGCAGCTGCAGGACAGAAGGTGATGGACAGTCTTCACCTGTACAACATGTTAAAGTGCAAAATGTCACATGGCAATGTCCGATAGGTTTTACCCTACACAGACTAATAGTTCTCTGCTTAGGAACAATGTAAAGTAAGAAGCTGCTCTACAAGCTTTGAAATCTTCAACTTCTCAGTGTAATATTTCTTTTTCCTAACTTATGGATCGCTTCCATGTCAGATCTAGCTTCTTTGTGTGTATGGAAACACTAGCAAAAGATAGAAATAAAAAAAGCAGTCTGGATTCTCAATGCCCACACTACATCAAAGTTGTTACTGAGAAGCCACATGGTTTCTCTAGTTGTTGGTTATGTTTCAAGGCTGCTTCTGAGAGGTAGGAGCATACTCTTCTGTTTGGTGAGAGTTAAAGATGTTCAGCACACTTCAGAATCAGACTTTGCTTTCTCTTTTTCTGTTTTGCTATATTTAAGAAATATATTAAAAGGCAGGAGTTATTAATATTATAATTTAATATTATTTATCAATGCTCTGAGAGAATCAAATACAATGAGCTGCAGTGAGTTGCCCTTCTATTTGTTTCATATAATAACAGTATGGCCAAATTAGAATATTAAACCCAATATTTTTTAGTAGAGAGTAAATAGGGAAGTAAGTGGGAAGGAAACACCTCTGTCTTTCAAAGAAAACTGAGAGAAGCACAAGAAAATACGTTGCCAGAAATAATCCTGCAGTGTAAAGGAAATTCACCGAGTAAGGTAATGGGGATTTTCCAGCACATTCCTATAATTACTCACCTATCACAGAATTTTAACAAGTTGCTTGGAGTTACCTTACAAACCAACATAAAATAAATGTTTGCCTCCTGTGCTGGTTGTTCAGCAGCAATTAACCAATAAACACTTCTTGGTCTTCTGTTTGTGGTTCCCATAGCAAGAGTTGCGCTCAGATGAAGACAGGATCACTGAAGCCAGAAAACCCTAACCTTTGTACCTAAGTTTTCTCCAATGAGGTTTACTTTTTTCAACAAGCACTCTCAGGAAAGCAAAGTAATACATTGTTATAGATCTTTGAAAGACTAGTAACTGAATTCCCATTACAGGATTGGACTTGATATTGAGCTCTGCTCCAGAGGACAGTGAAGTCAGTGGAAACCTCTGAGTGACCTCCACAAGTTAGAAATCAAACTCAAATGAACACTGAGAATTCTGATAATTTTTTTATGGCTTTTGCTAGGTACCTTCTGTGAGGCCTGCAGGATTTCAACATAAATGATCAATATTAAAATGTAAAGAAAGCTTTAAGGGTGTATTTGGCAGTGAGTTGAGGTCTGTGCTTAGTGAGGACAATGGAAGTTCAGTGATAGTGGTGGCGATGCAAAGATGTGAAGGAAGCTGGCACCACACACTTTGCCATTGGGATGAAACGGTGGGAAGAGAGAGTTAGGCAGAAGGAGAGAGTAACCATTGGGCTGCCTGTAGGGTAGCAAGAGGATGAGGGTTATTACTGTGGTAGCACATATAAGGCTGCCAGCTATGTGGTTCTGAGTCTTTAAATAAAGACAGGCCCCAAAAGCTGATGAGGATGTAGGGATTCTCTTTGGTCACTTGCAGATGAGCTGACTGGGGAAGGGTTATTTGGGGTTGTCTGCTTATCCTGTTGATTAATAACATCTGTTCCACAGCTGTCAATATTGACAGCTGTACTTCTATACCAGGGAGTGCAAATAGCGCTGTTTGACTCCTTTGAGATGTATGGTGCAGAAGAGCCCTCTTGCGCAATGGCCTAACATCCCTTGCATTGTCCCTTTCACCTGCCCTGACAGGAATATACCTATGTAGCCTTTCCGGAACGGCAACGTTTTCCACCCCTTCTCCCCTGTAAGTGGCAGCCAGGGGGTCCAGACCCAAGCATGGCGGAGCAGAGGCAGTGGCTGCACATAGGGTAGGAGCGCTGGGAACAGCCAGGCGGCCCGAGCTGTGAGGGGGGGAGCAGCCGTAACGGGGGAGGGCACGACTCAGTGGACGTTGCTCATCGTGCGTTGGGGTCACCTCGACCTGCGGGCAGCGCACCTGGAGTGCGCACAAGCCCCTCCGCAGTCTCCCAAACGCCGCGGTAGCACTGAGCAGCCCGGCTCGAAGCACGCAGCTGCCGTCTTGCCGGCGCCGTGCCGGTGGGGCAGGGCGGCGCGGCGGGCTGTGCCCCGCCCGGGAAGAACTACAGCGCCCGTCGGCCCCTGCGCGCCGCCACCACCTTTCCCGCCTCTCGCCGTTATCGCCTGCCTCCTGTCAGTGAGGAGCCGGACCCGGACCCGGCTCGCCTGAGAGGGGCTGCCGCCGCTGGGGACGGGGGGCAGTGGGGTGGAGCGCAGCGGCCTCCTCCTCCTCCCCTTCCCGATCCCTGTGGGGGAGCGGTGTCCCCGCAGCCTCGCTGCCCCGTCCCGTCCGGTGGCGCGGCACATGAGGTGAAGATGGTGATCCGCGTCTTCGTCGCCTCCTCCTCGGGCTCCGTGGCTGTGAGTGGGGGCGAGCGGCGGGGAAGAAGGGAGATGACAGGGGTGCGGGGCCGCCGCGGCCGGGGCTGAGCCCCAGGGGCCGGGGCGAAGCCGGCCGGTGGGGGTTGTGGAGGTGGTGGTTGCGGTGCTGGTGGTGGTTGCGGTGCTGGTGGTGGTTGCCCGCCGGCGCTCGCCGTCCCTGCGGCTGGCGAGCCTGCCCTCGGCTCCTAGAGCTCGCCCTGCACGGCGGCGAGGACCTGGGATCCAGGCAGTCGGCTGTTGTGAAACGCGGGTCTGAATTTGCAGGGGTTGCGTGTGCAGTGGTGGTGGAAATGACTGCTCCCCCCTGCCCCGAAAGGCAGCCAGAGATTAACTTGTTCGTAAACTGCCTTTGGCAAAGCAAGCCCCTCTGAAACCTCTTTGTGGGGGACAAACACTGGGTGTGTTTAAAGGGTCTTAAAGGTGATGAAACAGGGCTAAACTTGCCCGCTCAGGAGCGGGGTTCAGCGCCTCGGCGCAGGCAGGCGCGGTACCTCCGTGCGTGCCAACTACCGCAGGTTCAAAAATAAACAGAAGGAGAGCCGAGGGACAGACTTCACCCCTAGCACTTCTCTGCACTAAGAAATACTTTGGGAAAGGTACAGCTCCTTCCAAACTCGGTTTTGAAAGGCATCCCTGCATCCTCTGCTTAATTGAAGTTCTTACAGCTTTCTTTTGTTGAATTACTTCTGCATGTGAGCTGTGAACATCCATATGTTTTATATAAAGTGACAGTTCTGATTTCTGTGAAGGCAATCTAAGTGTAAGCATTCTACTGAATTTGTCCTTTAATGGTAAACATCAGAAGGATTTGGATATAATTGCTATTCTTTATGCTTCAGCAATGAAGGCAGTGGCACTTTTGCATTGTGGAAGGATGTAGCAGTATATTTTCCAGTCTGAAGGTTTATTGTGTCTTTACTTCCTTCAGCTTTTTACTGCACAATACTAGTTTTCAGTTCAGTGGCGTGGTGACAGGTATGTGTTCTGATATGTTTTGGCATGAAGTGTTCAAAATGCTTAGTGGCTGCATTACAGCTAATAAAAACTAATTATCCATTTCAGTAGCCAACTGAGTAAACACAGAGTGTCTTCAGAACTCTATAATCCATGTTCATCAAACATCCATAATAGAAACATCTTCTTTCCTGCATGGGCAATTGTTTCACACTGTGGTAGCGCAGTATTGTTAGGTTTAGTTTCTGTTTCATACCTCATAGCTTGAACAATAATGCATAGTTTTATATTTTGTTTTTATTGAAGGGGAGGAAAAAGGCCACATTATTAGCTCACCCATATCTCCAGTCTCTAAATAGCTTATTGATGGGAGGTTTTTTCTGCACTCTTTCCCCTCTCTCTGCCTGCAAGATACATGTCCGATTAAGAGCAGCAGTATAACCCTCTTCACTATCTGTTAACCCAACAAACCAAATTTGAGGATGAGAAGCAGTTTAATTTGCACATCAGTTCATTTGCTGTCTTTTTTTCTGGGTTGGACAACACAAATATGACATATAGTATGGCTAACAATTTGCATATGGTGATAGTCAACTTCATCTAGGCAGCAGTATGTCCGAGTACTGCCTAGCCAGAGAATAATAGATAGTTTAGTGACTGAAGGTACTGTCACACCGGGCCAAAGCTGTGACATCTTTTTTGTGTCAGTTTTGATTCATCTGTTTCATTGCAGCATTCATGAGCTTTCAGTATGGGCTGAGTTCCCGTTGTTCTCAGTGTCACATCATCAAAGATTTTTGATTTTGGGTTTGCATGGGGTGTGTGTACATCAAAGCTGAATGATTAAAAAAAAAAAAAAGACAAAGAAAAAAGCACTATCAGCTGGCTATACTCATCTGGAGAAAAAGGTGGTTACTGTATCATACATCTCTAAAAAATGGAAGTTGTAAACTTACTGTCATCCTCCTCAAGCTACATTCTAGTAAAATGCAACAAAAAGTGAGTCATGTAATTCCTTGTCATCTTCTCCAGCCTTCAGCACAACTACATCAGCTACTTTTTGGGATCCTGTGCAATTCATGGGACAGGATGATTTCCCTGTCTAGAGAAATGTGTGTCCCTTATAGATCCTACTCCGTCTCCTGCTAAAAAGAGTGTCAAAATCCATGGTTTAATTTACACCTCTAGGTCAGCTTGAGTCAAATTGTAAGCTAACTGCTTGTGAGTGGATGTGTCTGAGATTAGTGTCTGACCTGCTGTAATTGACCAAAACTTTCTATATGTAGGATTTGCTTGTAAACTAAAAGCAGTGCCATGGTGACTCGATTCACTTTCCTAATGTTACTAGAAATACTTATGTCGAATTACTCTGTACTTTAAAATGAAAAGTCCATCTAGTCTCTAGAGCAAGCTTTTGGTTTGGCAAATATGACTCCTTTGGAAATCTTCAGAATGCCCAAGTCAAATGATAGACATTTGGCTGAAACATTGCTGAGAAATACACTGGTTGTGTAGTCAGCGCAGGCTTCAATTCGCATAAATATAACTTTCGTTGGAAACATTTAAAATAGTTATTGATCCCTATACTTGGTGTAATTTATTCTGTGCTAAGGAAGATGAATATGCATAATAGTCATACATAATTCTAAGAGTTCAGTGCATAAAATGTTTTGGGTGTCATTCTGGGGAATAGAAAGGAAATAATTGGACTGGATGAGAAGGAGCCAAGAATATTGTGAACCTTCCCATCATTTGGTCTTGGACTTCTCCCTGCAGCACCTTCCTCACTTCTGAAGGTTCTTAGACCCTTGAGAGGTTAATGGTACTTACTATTTCTGTTGTTTTTTAAAATAAAAGTTGTGAATATAAATGCCTCATGAGCTTTAAAGAGCTCACAGGTCTGAAAACCTAATTGTTGCTGGAATGAAAACATTCACCTTCAGTGTTTAGGGAAGCTGTAATGTGAGTTTACCCATAAAGATGCTGTAGACAAGTTCTTGAGACCTTCTTGTGGGAAGGGAAGATAAAGGTATTTTATGTATGTGCACATTTCTGAATATCCTCGTGTTGTTTTAAGCATGTATTAGGCAGATCCAATTGAATCACAATGGGAAGCCTCTGCATGGGCAGGCAGGCACGTTTCTACAAGCCTTACTGTCTCATACTTTTTCTGACCTGAATTTCTACTGGTCGTTGGTAAGCTGTGTCTCGAATTCCAAGCACTTCTTTGTGGGACTGTGGAGACAAGCTTTGCAACTCCTCCCTGATAAGGACAATCTGTGTTCTTTTGTGCTGAGAAGAAAGGCTACTTTAAAATTACCTTTCACTCTTCTCCCTTAGCCGTGCTTCACTGTTTTCAGGAAATAGTTTATGCCCTCATTTTTCAACAAATCATTCCAAGGTAACTCTTAATTTGATCGGTTTCACATTTTCAGTCTATCAATAGAGACTTACACTTGTGCTACTGTGCTATGCATTGACTCAGTTAAATGGTTTTTTTTCAGTGTTTTAAAGCAGCTCTACCTGTGACAGGAAACAGGTAGCATGAGCTAAGTAACCCTATGCCCGGAATTCCTACAGTTATCTAGAAATGTCAAACCAGAGTAGACTTCAGTCCTCTCACAGTCAGAGGACTGAAGATCAGGTAAGGAGGATATAATTGAAGAGCTTTCAAATAATGGAAAAACTTGAAACAACTGTCTTGCTTGTGCTTTCTCCTCTGTGGTAATGATTTATTGCCTTGGAGCATCATCTGTTAAGCAGAACGGATAATAAAGGGAGGTTAGTTACTGCAGTAATGGAACAGCAGGTAGAATCTACTCTGACTAGTGAGAGTACCAGCCTGAAAAGAATAGACTATTTAAATGACCAAAACTTGGAGTTTGACTGTTGCTACAGAAGGGAATTATATATTTTTTATGAGGAAGCTTGATAAGATAGGTGCAGATAAATTGTTTTCTATGGCAAATATTTGTTTTATGAGACTAAACATAAACTCTGTTTTTATTTAAGCATGTTATGGAAGTCAAATGAGTTGGAATTTTTGCTACCGGGAATGACTTTTGATTACAGCATAAAACATCAGAATGTCAGAATAATTACAGTCATGTTTGTTTGGTTCAGGTGTTGCTGGATAATGTAATGAAGACAAATACAATGCTTGCATACTTAAGGCTAAGCTTGTCTCCTAGTGATAATCATGAATTTCAACTCCACCCTTGTTTGTACAATGTTATTGTAACTCAACAATGCTATGTTTCTCTTAGCACTTCTCAGGAAGAATGTGTGTCTTGCTGGGAGGTGTGGAATAAATTAACTTAAAATATGTCACTTTTAGAATATCTGCCAGCTAACAGGTTGTTTTGCCTCTCTGCACCCTTTTGTGAAAACTGTGTTAGTTATGGTGGTCATGTGGAGGGATTTACAACTTGTTGCATGCAATCAGTGGAAATTCAGCTACCTATGATATAAAATATTAAGCTTTGTAAATTATAAACATTGTAATGTGTTTTTTTTTTAATATTAGAAGTTTGTAAGATCAGATCAGAGCAGCAGGAAAGTTAGCTTTTCAGAAACATGACAATAATCTTTACAGTTAGAAGATCCTGCAATATGCATGTGGGAAATAATAGTATTTTAAATGCACGACCCCAGTATTGTCTACCATCTGCCAGCATGCTGAGGATACACCTGTTGGATTGGATCCTAAAAGCCCATTTTATGAATCTCACATGAAGATAATACTGTGTCCCTTCACTTGGTGAAGACGGTGTTGCTTTTGATTGTGCACCTACAGAGTAGTGCTGTAACAACAGCAGTGGTACTGTTGGAGATAGTATGGAGATAGTGGTACTAGATGGAGATAGTTGGACCCTCACCCAGTAACAGGACATGTCATGTATCTGTGTCTCAGACATGAGCAATTATATTGTCTATATGAGAGATCTGTGAGATGCCTGTATGAGATGCCTATGGGAGATGCCTGTAGGAGAGATCTGGGGATTTTCTGGATGTAGTCCCTTTGA